CTGATTGCCTTTTTAGAACTGTGACTGTAGTGGAGGATGATGAACCAGTTGTCCTATGTCCCCATTTGCAATCGTAATTTTGACTCTTCAGAGTTACAAGCACGTATGTGGTATGAAGCGTTGAGTAGCTCTGAGGGCAAATACCCATAAAGGAAATATGGAGGTGAATGATAAAATGTATTTACAGCATGGGAAAAAAAAAAGCAAAACAGGACAGGGAGTATGTGTGTGTACGGTCAGTGGGCGGGGGGGGGGGGGGGGGTTTCCTGCTAGTTATTTACTGTGACGGTCAGCTGACCACCCGTGAAGGTGACATCCGCATGCATGCCGAAGGGGGTAGGGGAGGAGCCGTGCGGCTGTCGGGAAAAGAGAATGCCTGGGCTCCTGGGCTGGAAATGTGCCTGGTGTGTTCAGGGCACAGTGAGGGGGACAGTGTGGCTGTGAGCGAGAGGGTGGAGAACGGGAGGAGAAGTGAGGTCAGAGAGGTGACGGGAGCCTTGGTGGCTGTTGTGGTTATGGGGTGCCTCTGACTTCCCTTTCTCTGCTGCAGAGTTCCCCGATCCAGGAAACTGCCACCACCCCCGAGCTGCCTTCAGAGACCCAGGAGACCCCAGGCCCCGCCCTGTGCAGGTGACACCCCTCCCCCACTCACCACCCCTCCCCCACCTGCTGTCCTTGTACCCACCAGTGTCCTCTCTCCACAGCCCTCGGAGGCAGTCACCTCTGACCCTCGAGGATTTCAAATTCCTGGCAGTGCTGGGCCGGGGTCACTTTGGGAAGGTGAGGCCAGGGGGCAAGGAGTTGGGGGAACAGGGAGTCCCCGGGCTGGCCACAAACGCCATCGTTGCCCACTGCGGTTCCAGGTGCTGCTCTCCGAATTCCGGCCCAACGGGGAGCTGTTCGCCATCAAGGCTTTGAAGAAAGGCGACATTGTGGCCCGAGACGAGGTTGAAAGGTGGGGACCCAGCCCAGGCCCTCTGAGAACCTCAGTCTTTTCTTCTGCGAAATGGGAGATAGGGCAGTCCCCTCTCTGGAGCTGCTGTGACAGTGATTCATAATAGTCACTGGCACTTATTAAGCTAGTACTTAAGATAATAACTTGGAAAGCACCCACTATGCGCTTTATGTTCAGTAACTCATTTGTTCTCCACAACAGCCGTATGAGGTAAATATCGTTATTGTTCCCATTCTGCTGATGACACAGAAAGGTTGAGCAAGTTGCCCAGAGTCACAAAGCCAGTAAGCAGCAGGTCGGGGATTCAAACCTAGGGACTCAGGCTCTGAAGCCTGTACCTTTAATGGCACCATTGCCCTGCCTCTGCTTTGGGTCAGGCCTGTGGGTTCAGATCCCACCCCTGCCACAAATATGTTTAGAGACCTTGGGGAAGTCACTTTGCCCTTCTGATCCTTGTCCTCACCATCTGTAAAAGGGGAGTAATAATGCCTTTCTTGCAGGGTTGTCAGGTGGATTAAGTGAGAGGATGCATCTAGAGCATTCTACAGTACCTGGCCCCCTGTAAAAAGGCCCAGCAGAGGCACCGAGATTGTCCCTAATCTTCCTGACATCCTTTTGTCAATCAGGAACCCAACTCAGATAGGCTTAAGCAAAAGAGGAATTTATTGGTCTGGGTCAGAAAAGTCCAGGGTTGGACTACCTCCAGGAATGGCTATATCCAGGTGCTCAGATGACGTCTCTCAGTCGGCTTTCCTCTTTGTGGGCTTTGCTTGCAGTTCTCTCATGGGGGCAGAGATAACCCCCTACACAGCAGTGTAAGGCTCATCCACTAGTTTTAGCCCTTCTTCCTTAATAATTCCAGCAGAAACCCTGAGATTGAGCCCCACTACCTTGGCTTGCCCATTCCCAGACCAGTTCCTGGCCAGGAAAATGGGTGCTCCAATTAGCCCACCCTGGCTGGTCCCTAAAGGGATATTGGGGGGCTGTTACTAGGACGACAGTTGGCTTCTGGGTACCTGTTTAGCAGACAAAGCTGCTGGGGTTCAGAAATATTAAGCAACTTGCCCAAGGTTGCCCACCCACTTGAGGTCCTCAGCAAACAGCTGATGATCAAGGACTTCTTGGGAGTGTGGGAGTTGAGGGTGGGGGTGGGGGGCTGCTGTGGTCTCTGACCCCCGCCCCCTACCCTGCCCAGCCTGATGTGTGAGAAGCGGATCTTGGCAGCAGTGACCAGAGCAGGACACCCCTTCCTGGTGAACCTGTTCGGCTGTTTCCAGACGCCAGAGCACGTGTGCTTCGTGATGGAGTACTCGGCGGGTGGGGATCTCATGCTGCACATCCACAGTGACGTGTTCTCGGAGCCGCGCGCCGTGTGAGCTCCCCCGCCCGCGCCTCAACCCCCAACAGGCGGTGGCAGCCCCCTTCGGCCCCCATTTCCCCCTCCCCCCAAGCCTCCTGGAGTTTTGGGGGGGGACTGGGGAGTTTTCGAGGATGTGGGAGCCAGGCTTCCGTGGCCTGCCTTCCTTGCTGGGAGGCCTGGCTCCATCACACCAGTTTCTCTCTGCAGCTTTTATTCAGCCTGTGTGGTGCTGGGGTTGCAGTTTCTCCACGAACACAAGATCGTCTACAGGTATGTGCCCTTGGGTGTATGTGCTCCTGTATGCACGCGCTGCCCACTGGGGGCCCTCAGGCTTCAGGCAGGGCCCAGACCCCCCCTCATCCCTCTTTACATCCCCCCAACCCATCACAGGGACCTGAAGTTGGACAATTTGCTCCTGGACACCGAGGGCTATGTCAAGATCGCAGACTTTGGCCTCTGCAAGGAGGGTGAGGGGCGGGGCTGGGATTTGAAGGGCTGGCCTCTGGGGATTAGACAGAGTGGGGGAGGGAATGGAGTCCCCAGCCTTACCTGGGTTACCCCCGACCCTGACCCTGGGATGGGGCTGGCTGTCTGGGCCACCCCATGCTGGGCTGGGAGCCCCCCCTCCCCCCATAACCTCACATGGCCCTACTGCCCCCAGGGATGGGCTTTGGGGACCGGACCAGCACATTCTGTGGGACCCCGGAGTTCCTGGCCCCCGAGGTGCTGACAGACACATCTTACACGCGGGCCGTGGACTGGTGGGGGCTGGGCGTGCTGCTCTATGAGATGCTGGTTGGCGAGGTGAGGCCCCAGGCTGCTCTTACCCTGCCTGACCCTGGGATCATGGTGGAAACTGCTTGTGCCTAGGGGTGGGATCAAACGGTGCCTCCATGTGCTGTGTGATGGGGACAGCTGGCTTTGCCTCCCTAGCCTCAATTTTCGCATCTGTAAAATGGGGTACTTACCTTCCCACATCAGCCAGCACCCAGGTGAAGGTGTGCTGGGAGCAGAGGGCTCAGGTGGGGCTGGGAGGGGAGTGGCCAGAGGAGGAGCCTAATTCATCCTGGCTCTCCCTGTCCCCAGTCCCCATTCCCAGGGGACGACGAGGAGGAGGTGTTTGACAGCATAGTCAATGACGAGGTTCGCTACCCACGGTTCCTGTCAGCTGAAGCCATTGGCATCATGCGCAGGGTGAGGAGCCCCCCCTACTTGGGCCCTGGGAGGGGCTCTGGGGCCAGGAAGGGGAAGACTGACACCTCTCCTCCCCCTAGCTGCTGCGAAGGAATCCAGAGCGGAGGTTGGGATCCAGCGAGAGGGATGCAGAGGATGTGAAAAAGCAGCCCTTCTACAGGGTGAGGTCACCCCAAGTGCCTGGCCAACTCCCCACCAGAGACCTGGTCATCCTCCCCGACCCCCAGGGCCTATGCATTCCTCCCCTACCAAGATCTAGTCACTTCCCCTCCAACATTATCATCTCTATTTCCTCCCGGCTCCTTCACACCCACTGACCCACCTATACCCACATCTACTCCAGGCTGGTCTGGTGGGGCCACTGCCATGTGTATGAACCCAGGCTCCCTCTCCCCCACCCCAGGGCTCCCCATACTCACACTCATCCTTCCTGGGCCCCCAGTCCCCCACTTGACCCCTCTGTGTTGTGACCCCTACGCTAATCGCCACAGATGCAGGGCTGGACGGGGCACACGGGGCTGGCCCCTCCTGCAGTCTGCACCCCCCACCCCATGATGACCTCTTCCTCTCTCTGCCCCTTCTCCCCCACTTAGACACTGGGCTGGGACACTCTGCTGGCCCGGCGCTTGCCACCTCCCTTCGTGCCCACGCTGTCAGGCCGCACTGATGTCAGCAACTTCGACGAGGAGTTCACAGGGGAGGCCCCCACGCTGAGCCCGCCCCGCGACGCGCGGCCCCTCACGGCCACAGAGCAGGCAGCCTTCCAGGACTTCGACTTCGTGGCCGCGGGCTGCTAGCCCTCTCCCCTGCCCCTCCCCTGACCAAGCTCTCAGTAGTTTTTAAGAAGGCCTTTGGGGTTTGCCCCATCCATGCATCCTGCGGCTCCTCTTGTGTGCAGTAATGGTGGCATGGGGGGTGGGGGTGGGGTCGTGTACTTGGAAGTGGGGAGAGTTGGTGGGGGCAGATCCAGTGGGTGGCCAGGGGCATAAGGAGTGACGGGGAGATGCCCTGGGTTCTAGTATGGGGGTCACTTGATGAGGGTTAAGGGAAGGTGGGGACTCCGGGCTCTTACTAGGGTGGGGAGCGCGGGCCGGCTGAGATGGGACAGGGCTGGGAGTTGTGTTTAGGGACACTGGAGTTTTGAGGCCCTGCTGGGGTGTGGTTTGGGGGTAGGGCCTTGGGGATGTGTTGGAGGAGCTCAGGGCCACAATGAGAGAATTGTTGCTAGGGTCAGCCCTGGCGGGCGGTAGGAGCAAAAAGCGCCTCGGATTCTGGCTCAGCTGCTCTGCTCTGGACACCGTCCGGGAGCTGGGGCTGGCCGTGGCATTCTGCGCATGCTCCAGCGGCTCCAGCTCCGCGTCTGGCCTCCCCGCGCCTCTGCGTGGAAGGCCCCAGAACTGCACGCCCCGTAGGCTCAGGCGGCACCTCTATCGCCCCCGCGCGGCCACAGGCGTGCTGCAGCCCCGACCCCACACATGCCCTGCGCAGGTCCGCAAAATGGCTTTATTCCCTGAAAGCTCCGCGCTGCGGTCCTGGGCCCGGCCCGGGTGGTCTGACTTAGCCGCTGGGACTCCTGGCTCGCCTACAGGTGGCTGAGGCTACTGTGCCTGGAGCTGCGCAGCGAGCTGGCCTCCCAGGCGCTCCTGGTTAGGCGCAGCCCCACAGGGCTGCCCTTGGCGCCGGCCCTCGGGGGCAGGAGGCGAAGCAGTTGGCGCAGCACCGCCTGGCGCAGCAGGATGTACACCCAGGGGTCCAGGATCTGGTTCCATGAAGCGAGGCGCACAGCCAAAAACAGCGGCCGCTGCAGGGAGCTGGAGCCCCAGCCCCCGACGGCCAGCACCACTAACACCTGCGGGAGAAGCCGGTGTGAGCGGTGGGGGCAGGTGTAAAGAGAAGGGGACTGGCCAGGGGTGGGGCTGGGACGGATGCGAGCGTGGCCGGAAGACAAGGGAGCTGTGAGGAGGAGCAGAGGCTCACGGCGGGGGGGGGGTGGGGGGGGGTGGGGACGGGACAGAAGTCTTCGTCAGAAGGAACTACGGAAGGAGGGGCGAAGAAGGCGTGGCAGAAGCAAAGGCCTTCCGTGAGTGGGGGCTCCAGCAACAAAGGAGAGAAGTCCCAGGTGTCCTGAAGGACTGGGGACCAAAGGGGAGAAGAGAAACGGGGCGGGGTGGTGGTGGAAGTGGCTAGGGAATGAAGCATCCGGGCCTAGAGGAGTGGGGCTGGGAGGAAGGTTGCCTGGGGAGCGTGAACTACAAAGACCCCAGGTAGGAGTAAGAGGAGGGGACGGGGTGGAGGGGATGGGATGTCAGCGGGAGAGGCCAAAGGGCTGTCTCTCCTGACTGGTGGGGCCTCGAGGGGGTGGGGCCCCGGCTGGGGAAGGGAGAGAACCCAGGTATCTCACGGTGGCGGGGTGGGAGGGGCCAAGGAGGGGGGCAGGGAGGAGCCTGGCCCGAGGGGCGTGTGCGCCCCTCACCAGCAGCGGGCTCCAGCAGATGCACGACACCACCATGATGCCCACGAGCTGGCCCACCATCTCCACATCGTGAGCGCGGGCTCTGCGCGCTGAGCCATGGCCCGGGGAGCCGCCGGGAACCGAAGCGACGGACGAGGAGGACGAAGCTGAGGCCGAGCGGGGCGCGCGCGCCCCCCAGCGACGGCGGCCGTCGGGGCCGCTTGCCGAAGGACGCCGTCGGGAGCGGCGGCGCCAGCGGGCGCGCAGCAAGGCCAGGCCGCTGAGCGTGTTGCAGACGAGCGCGGCGAGCAGCGCGGCCAGGCCGAGGCCGGCGAAGAGGCCGGCGAGCAGCGCCTGGCGCCAGCCGCCCGCCGGGCCCAGGCCGATGAAGCACCACGTGCCCGGGTACTGCAGCTCGTAGCGGCCCACGCGCGCCAGCGGCAGCAGCGCCACCGCCAAAGCCACGGCGGCCAGCGCGGCCAGCGCCAGGCGCGCGCGGGCCGTCGAGACGCGTGCCGCGTGCAGCAGCGGCCGCGTGACGCCCACGCAGCGCTCCACGGCCATGCCGCAGCCCAGCAGCAGCGGGCACAGGCCGAAGAACACCATGCAGCCGCCCAGGAAGTGGCAGGCGCCGCCGGCCGGCGGGCGGCCCGCCGCGTACAGGCGCAGCACCAGCGCCCCCGGGATGACGTGGCCCGCCAGATCAGTGGCCAGAAGGCTGGCGACGAACATCAGGAAGGTGGCGGCCGAGCGGCGGCGCCGCAGGCGGCCCGCGGCCTGCGCCAGCAGCGCCAGCGCCAGCACGTTGGAGACGGAGCCCAGGGTCATGGAGAAGATGGGCAGCGCCGGCGATGCGCCCGCCCGGCCGGGAGGCGGCCCGGCCGACGCGTTGGGAGCCCCGGGCTCCGCGCACGTGGTCGCCTCGCCCGCCAGGCTCAGGTTGAGGGGCCCGCAGAGACTCATGTCAGGCGCTGGGGGTGGGGCTGGGGAGAGGAGAGGAGGGCTCCGTGAGGCCGGCCAGGAGCACACTGCCCACTATCCCCGTGGGACTAGCCGGCAGCCCCACCTCGGATCATCAGGCCCCGTTGGATGCCATGGCATTCTTCTGTCGCCTCTGCCCACGGCAACTCCAAGTGACCCTGGCTGCCCCATTCCCAACCCCTTTCTCCTCCTCTACCTCATCAGCCCATCATCTCCGGCTCCGGGCCTCATTCTTGCCCTCACCACCTTCTCTGTCCACCTTGGTTCCCTGGGCTCCGGCCTTCCGTGTCTGTCCCCACCTCTGGGCGTCACGGATCTACCTCTGACACCCACCTCTCATTATTGCGGCACAGCGAATTTCTCGCCCCTGGCTCCATCTGACACCCCCTGACCCATTTCTGATCCGCAGGGCCCCACCTGACCTCACTGCTCCATCTCTGACCATCACATGTCACCTTTTTTCAGTCCCATGTTCGATGCTCACAGCCCCACCTCTGCCACCACGGGCACATCTCTCTCCACTGCACTGTCCTTTTCCCCACAGCTACATCTCTGTCCCCACCGTCCCTGCCCCCCACACTCCCGCCTCTGAGTTCTGTCACTGTCTCACCCTGGCTCTCCCCTGACCACAGCTGCCTTACCGTGGATGCTCCCTGGCTCCCATTCCTGCCAGCTCCAGGTCCCTGCCCCAAAGGTCTCAAGGCAGACCCAGCGCCACCCATCCCTTGATAACCTGGAGGTGAGGGCAGAGAGGGCAGAACTGCCTGCTGGCCACATGGGAAAGGCAGATAGACAGTAAGACTGACAGGGACAGACAGATGGGGCTGAGAGTCAAGAACACAGGACAGAGAGACTGAACTAGCCACGGCCCCATCCTTCCAAACCCTCCTCCCCCACCAGAGATCCTCATGCCCCAGTCTCTTCTTACCCACACAGCTTGGGACTCCAGGTCCCCATCGCCTGCTGCTTGGCCCCCGCTGCCTGTTGCACCCGCGCCCGCTCCACCAGAGCTCTCCCGCCGGCCAGGCCGCTCCCTCTCCCTCCCTCCTGGGGCGGCTCCTCAGCTCCCTGCCTCCTCCCGCTGCCCGCTCCGGCCTCCAGGGGCCGCTCCAGCCATCTCGCGCCCAGAGGGGGCCTGGTGTGGCAGAGACCCCTCTGTGCTCCTGGCAAGGGGCAGGGGCTACACTGGACCCCAGCTGCCCCACCAGTAAGGGGGCTCCCAGGGAGCTGGCCTGGTTCCCCATGACCCCCTCCCCCTGGCGGGGCGGGAGTAGCCCTCTTCCCCCCCCGCTCCCCCCAGGCGCGGGCCTTTCGCCTGCCTCATTAATAAAGTGGATAAAATCTAAACACTGGAAAATGTGAACATCGCCCAGGGCAGGCTGGGGCGGCTGCAGGGGGTGCCACTGCCCCCATGGGGATTGCGAGCTTGGGGGGCTAACCCTGCTTGGGGGCAGCAACACTCTCTTGCCCTGCCACAGCCTTCATGGATGTTGGGTCGGGGGTGGTGGTGGGCAGTGCCTCGTGTGGACCAGCTTGGGTCAGGCCCAGCCTGGCCAGGAGACCCGCCCATTATTTACACAGGGGCTTAAAGCTCAGGCCAGGGCCAGCAGCGAGTCATACCCTGGGAGGGGCAGGGGAGGAGGCTGAAGGGGGGCAGGGGAACCAAGAGGTCTGGTGACCAGGGGTCTCTCTCTTGAGACACACAAGTCCCCAGCCACCTGTGGACACACAACTGCAGCCTCACGTCCTGCCCTGAGAAGCAGGGCCACACGCACACAGTCTCACCTTCTAAGACACACACCGTCATGCCTCTTAACACCCTAAGACCAGATGCCGTCAGTCTGTCCTCAGCACAGCAGCAGCCACGCTCCTCAAAGCTTTAGGGTCAGCCTTCATCATACCCCTGAACGCACTGTGACTGTCACCTCCAGGACCCTCAGAGGTGCCCCCATTGTTACTGGATTCAACTTCTCTCAACACGCCGAAATGCATCCCCCTGAGAAAGCGCTGGGAGACCCGGTCTCACCTAGCACCGAGACACACACACACTCCCTACCTCTGAGACAGCCCACCAGCCACACTCCGTAGCACCCACAGACACCCCCTAACAGTCCAAGACAGGCCCCGCGAGTGCACTCCATACACCCAAGGCACAAGGAGTCGCACCTCCTGGACATCTTGAGACCTAGCTGGTCAACGTCTAGCCCACAAACAAAACACCCAGAGACACTCACACTCACAGCCTTGGACACCCCCCGAGCTGCACTTACATGTCCACACTCCACACAGAGGTGCTGCCAGTTACACCCACAAACACCTTGGAACACAAAGACAGTCATTACCTCCTGTTCCCTCAACGGAGTCAAAAACCACCAACACTCTGACAGACCCAGTCTTACTGTCTCAGCACTGAGACACACAGCCGCACCCCTTCGCGACCTGAGTGGTTTACCAGCACAGACACTGCAGGCACCCGTGGGTGCCCAGGGATGTTGAGAGGGACCCCAACAACAGCTGTCTCCATCTCACCCCAAGAACACAACCACGGGCTGCGCACACACCCCACGCCCCGCCAGTGCCCCCAGCTCCCCTCTCCCAGGCAGGCCCAGAGCCCTCCCGTTGAAAGGAGTGATGAAAACGGGGAGCGGGCTGACCTCAGGCATTCCTGCAGGGACCTCTGGCCTGGCTCCCCTTGCTTCAATTCCTGCCCTTCCCTCCAGGTCTGGCCAGGGTCCCAGCCCCCCTTCGCTGATCCCCACTCAATCCTTGAGGATAAAGTGGGTTGTCAAAACAAGCACGCTGGGTTTATGTCCAGTGCAAACCATGGTGCACCATGGACGCCAGCAGACCCCACGCATCCAGAGTCAGCAAGAACGGGGGCCACATCACGAATGCTCCCCTCAGGCTCGGGGGCAGGCCTCCATCTTGGGCCCCCCATCCTTCTTTTTTTTTTTCCTTTAAATTTTTTATTGTTATGTTAATCACCGTACATTACGTCATTAGTTTGTGATGTAGTGTTCCATGATTGGGCCCCCCATCTTTCTTTTTCCAAGCCAGGCTTCCGCATCTCTGGGCCCTGGTGTTGTCCCCTATGGCCCTGGGCTATAACAGCTTGGCGCCCACTGTTCACATCAGGCTTGAGGTGGCAGGAGGCCTTGTTCGAGAGGGAGCAAGATTTGAACCTCAGTAGGCCAGGAAGCTCCGGCCTTTGACTGGAAGCCTGGTGGCCCACAGCCAGAAACCTCGTCAGGCGGAACGGGTTGGGGGGGTGGCCCAGCCAGGCTCCTAATTCAATTTGGAGCCCGAGGAGGATGGATTTCAGCTGCTACATTCTTTCCCAGCCTTGGCTCACCCCCTTCTCCCACCCCAAAGCTGAAGCCGCCACACAGGTCCAACAGCAGATAGATTCTTTATGTTCAAGACAGCAAATTCAGATACAAAAGCCCACCGCCATTGTCCCTCCTGCCCCTTCTGTCTGGGGCTGGGCTGTGGGCGACACAGAGGGCAGGGGAGGGAGGGAGGTTGGGGTTCACAGCAGACTAGTGTTTCAAATGCGGAGATAACAGACTCCAAGGTGAGGGGGCTCCTCTCTGGGTGGGGCATGGGGGGGGAGGGCATTATTGCATTTGCTGAGGGGGGATGCCCCCCTTCTGCTTTCCCTGCAGCAGGAAACTAGGGAGGTCACGACCCCCAAACAGGCCCCAGGGAGATGAGAGACCAGTTTGGCAGCTGATACGGAAAGTGTTGGGGGCGGGGGTGGCCACCCAATCTGGCTGGTCCCTCCCCCCCCACCCCCTGCGCCTGACCCGGCTGAGGTAGGTGGGGAACAGGGCAAGGGGGGGACCGGGGACCCCAGCCAGGGTGGGAGCTGGGGAGGGGTGGTACCGATTGGAGTGGGGCGGAGGCCCGGCCCCACCTCCACTCTGCATCATCCTTGGGCTGCTGAGCAAGGTCCAAGCCGGATGCTGGGGTCCAGGCCATGGTGGCCCTCCCACTGGGGGCTCCCACCCAGCAGAGCCAGGTCACTGAGGGGTCTGGAAGGGGGCCTAGAAGCGGCCGACCTTGGCATCCCCAATGGCACCCCAGACATCAAAGACGAACTCATCAGGGAAGGCAAAGTCACCAAGCCGTTCATCCAGGGCCTCGGCTAGCTCATCCGGGTTCCTTTTGTCCTTTCCAAGCTCCACCATGGTGGCCGCTGGACAAGGGTGGGGGGGTGGGGTGCAGAATGGAAGCACAGATGACAGAGGTACTCAGGGTAGACCCAGCCCCACAGGACCCAGAAGCCCCTGCCCCAAGGCTTGCACCCATCCCCAGATCCAGGCGTCCCCACTCACCCAACTCCGTGTCCCTGATGCCCATGTAACTCTCCAGCAGGTCATCTACCTTCTCAATCGCCTTCTCCTCAAAGGCTGAGGGCTGGGGGGGTGGGGGAGGGCGGGGTGGGAGGAGGGACAATAACATCACAATAATGTGAATATGTTTGTAATTGTACTTATTAAGTGCGGGATGCTCTTTTCACCACTTGACATGTACTAAGCCACAGCTCATCCTCACCACAACCCTGTGACAGTGTTAAGATCCCCTTACTTTACAAACAAGGAAACTGAGGCCCGCCTACCCAACAAAGGTCCCAGAGCTGGTACGGGGCGGAGGTAGATTTGAATCTAGTGCCCAGAGCCCCTCAGCTGACAAAGGACGCAGCCACCTACGGATGCCCAGGGAAGGAGGGCTGGGGCCGGGCTAGAACACTCACCACATCCTCTACTGTGGCAGGGCCGCGGGATCTGAGCCGGAGGGTCCCTCGGCCAGTGCCCAGCTGGGGGCCAGAGCCAGGGCGGCCGCCCCCTAAGCGTACACCGATCATGTCTGTGGGAGGCAGGGAAGGGGGGTGAGGGTCTGGGAAGCCCAATTCCAGCATGCCCTGGGCAGGACCCCAGGCAGCCTGGCCTCAGATACCCCCTTCTACCTTCTCTAAGTTTTTGCAGGCTCTGGGGAGTTGGGGCCTGAGGTGATCCCAGGAGGGCAGGACTCCTGACTCCAGCTTGGCATGGATGGGGGAAGGACAGCCAGGGGCTGAGAATGGAAAAGGCTGGAGTCGAGACAGAAGGGGGCCCAGTTCCCAGGGCCTGAGGGACAGGAAGGGGGTGGGGCCTGGGTCTTGAGCTGTTCTCCCCAAGGCCAAGGGGATCCAGCTGCTGGGCCAAAGACCAGCCCTATCTGCCTGGGGAAGTGTTTGAGAGTCCCCCACCCCCACCTCAGGGGCCTCAGGCCCATTCCAGAGAGTTAGTGAAGTCAGACGGAAAAGTGGGGGTGCAGGAACAGGGCAGCCAACCCTGGCTTCTCAGGACTGGAGGGGCTCGCCAGGGTTGGGGGCGCTTGGCTGGGCTAATGGTTCCAGGAAGCTGGGTGTGGGGGCAACTTCCTCCTTGTTCTCACCCTCCTCCCAGGCTGGGTGGAGAGCCAGCACCCCCACCCCAGGGCAAGGCGGAGCCCCCACCTTCTACTGCAGCTGGCTGGCCTTGGGTGCCACCTGCTGGTGTCTCCCTGCCACTGTGGCCTGAACCCAAGCTAACAGCAGTGGTCCAGGAGGCAGGCCCCTCACCAAAGGCCTTGCGGGGCTCTGTGAGCTTCAGCGTGAAGGTGCGGCCTCGGGGCAGCTCCTTGAGGAGACGGGCCACCTCGTAGTGTCGGCAGCCCAGCAGACTCTGCCCGTTGATGGCCTCAATCATGTCACCCACGCTGATGAGCTGGATGTGGTCAATCACGCTTCCCTCCTTAATGCGCTGTGGGGAGAGGAGCTGTCAGCCCCCATGGCTCTGCCCTTGGGTCCCATGGCCCATCTTTTATTTATTTATTTATTTATTTATTTATTATTTATTTATTATTTATTTATTTATTTATTTATTTATTTATTTATTTATTTGAGAGAGAGAAAGAATGAGAGGGAAGAGGGTCAGAGGGAGAAGCAGACTCCCTGCTGAGCAAGAAGCCCGACATGGGACTCGATCCCGGAACTCCAGGATCATGACCTGAGCCGAAGGCAGTCGCTTAACCAACTGAGCCACCCAGGCACCCCCCATGGCCCATCTTTACCCTCAGGACTCCGGGTGCCCCATCCACCCCAAGCACCTTGATGAAGGCATAGCCGGCACCGTTGTCAGTGATGGTGAGCCCCAGCGCCTCCTCTGACTTGAACACCTCTACCTCCTTGCGCTGCCCCTTGATGTGGGCAAAGATGAAGTCCTCCAGCCCGATCTGGCCTCCCAAGAGCTTGTCCATGTCCACTTTGTGGGTGTTGAGGGTACAGAACATCACCTGCATGGGCGGGAGACACTCAACCCTCACCTCCTTCCCTCGCCCTTTGCTAACAACCGCCTGAGGGGGAATGGGGGCAGCTGGGAAAGGGCTGGGGGTCCCCCCCGCCAGAGTGGCCCCCACTAGGATGCAGCTCTGCTAGGGTGAGATTTCTGTCCTAGCAAAAGCTCCCTGCGGCCCCCAGGGCACAGAGCCTGGCACACAGTGGGTGCTCAGTAAGGGCTTGTGGAATGAATGAAGGGGCAGAGAATACCCACCACACCTTCTGAGACCCCCGCATCTACCTCCTGCCCAATCCTACTGCTGCCCTTTTTGCCTCCCTTCCTTCGGCTCCCAGGTCCTCCGGGTAAGGCCTCCCAATGCATCACAGAGAAAGGAATCTCGCATCTGACCTCCAGACCCCGTAATCAGCTGGGGCGCAAGCCTCCCGATGCATGCTGGGAAGGTCACATCCAGCCCCGGCCACCCATTTCTGCAGGCCGCTGGGGCACAGGCCTCCCAATGCCTGAAGGGAGCTCAGCACCCAGGCTTGGCCTGCAGTTCCCCGTAAGTCACTGGGGAGCAGGCCTCGGCATGTGCAGCTCCAGCGTCTGAGCCGCTGCTCCCGAGCAGGAGGCATGCCCGGGCCTCAGCCCACCATCAGGGACCCTGGTGCCCAGCTCCCCCGCGGGTACCTCAGCAGCTGGCAGCCGGAAGGCCTCAGCGATCTTGCCGTACAGCTCCTTGACGTTGGTGAAGCCCTCGATGCGGCCCGTGGGACTGCCGTGGGCCAGCTGGGTATGGAACACGAGGCGGGGCCGCAGGGCTGGGGGAGGGGGAGGCAGGCCCATTTGGGGCCCCCCTGCCCCACCCCCACCCAGGGGCCCCGGCTCCCCCACGCCCAGCCCCCCACGGCCTGGCTCAGCCTCCTCATTTTCCACCAGAGGCGGCGCCTTTTTCCGCCGCCCCAGTCCCAGCGGCATGAGCAGTGAGAAGCGCGGGCACACTCAGGAGATCTGCAGGGCAGGAAAATGGGCTCAGGGCCTGGGCAGTGGCCTCGGGCCGCCTCTCCCACACTATTAGCACCCTACTGGCCTTATGAGATATTTGGAGAACAGAAAAGCCTCGGTTCGAAACCCGGGCCCAGCACTTACATACCTCGTACAGAAGTAAAAATGGCAGCTAATACCTACTAAGACCCCACGCAAACCGCGCTGTGACCTTACTTCATCCTCACATCGCATCGGGACATGGGGACAGTATTATGTTATGATTATGCCCATTTAACAGATGAGAAAATGGAGGCTCAAAGTGGTTACATTCCCCTTTATTTTTCTATTGGCACTGACACTCACTAGTGCTGTGCACCAAAAATTTCTGACTCTCCCTTCAAAGCACACAGGCAGGTGACACTTGCTGTCCTCCTTGTGACGGGACAGACATATGACTACTTCTGACCAATGAGTTGTGAGACACATGATGTTTCTGGGCTGAAGCATTTAATCACTGGAGCCAGAGACTCTGGGGGATCTATATCTCCCAGGCAGGCTGCATTTGATAATGAATGGAACCTCCTGCTGAGCTGCAGTGATGTAGCAGGAACAAAAAAAATAAGCCTTGTGGAGTTCCGCCACTAAGATTTGGGGGGTTGTTTGTTACTGTAGCAAAACCTGTCCTGACTGATCTACTCTTTTTCTTTCCTCTGTTTTCTTTTCTCTACCTCCATTCTGTTTCTTTCTTCCTCCCTCCTTTCAAACAAATATTTTTTGCATACTTACTATATTCCATGCACCACTGTAGATATTGCCTTTAGTAAGATAAGCAAGGCCCCTGACCAGGGCCACCATGCGCAGTTACACAGGTTGTTCACTGCGCAAAAGCACCAGACCAGGGTTGCAAGTGGGACTGAAATTCAGCCTGTGCTCTGCTTGCCAAGCTACAGGCCGAGCTGATGTGTCTGCCGGGAGGAAGGGCTGCCTCCTTCCGGTTGTCTCCTAGGTGCCACATATGTTAGCTGGGGCTCTGTCCATGCTGTCCAGAGCATATAGTCCAGAGAAGATGCACAGTGAGCAAGCACATGTGTAAAAGTCTAAGATGATTTCTATTTGTGCTACGAAGACAATCAAACAAGACAAGTTCCTCTACAGACAAGGTCAAAGAGGGCCTCTCTGAGCAGCTGAAACTGAACCTGAGACCTGAGTGACAGGAAGAAGTATCCATATGAGCCCATTTGCAAGAGGGCTCCAGGCAGAGGGAACGGCCAGTACGAAGGCCCTGAAGTGGGGACGTGCTTGGTGTGTTTGAGGAACAGCAAGGAGGCCTGTGGGGTTGGAACAGAGTGCTAAGGGGGACAGCAGGAGGAGGTGCGGGCAGGGAGGGGATCAGGCAGAGTGAGCAGGGCCTCGGGCGCCCAGGGAGGACTCAGGCCTTTGCTCTGAGTGAGGTGGCGGCCACGGGAGGGTTCTGAGCAGACTCTCAGCCTCACAGATCAGCAAGAGCCCATTGTAACTGCAGTGCTGCGAGCAATGAGAGACTGAAGAGGGGCGGTACAAGAGGTGACAGGGGGCGGGAGGGGTCGACTCTGCGGGCCTTCCAGAGTGGGAAAGCGTTCGGACTTCATTTCGAGTCACACGTCCGAAGTCACAGAAGCCAGCTGCACTCTCGGGTCTGTCTGATGCCCATGCAGAGTGGCTCCCTAAGCAACGCCATCTCCCTGGGCCTGGGATGTCTGCTCTGCAAGTGGGGACATTCCACCCACCTGGCCAGGCGAGGTGAGGATCCCAGTATGCCAAATTCTGTTTTTTGTGTAAAGGGGACTTCCTGCTCCCTCCTTTAAAACCTCTTCCTCCAGGGGGCCGTCCTGGATTCAGCCAAACCCAGTGCACTGCACCCACTCTCCTGCCTCCATTTGTTTGCGCCCGCATTCATTTGTCTGTTCTCCAACACCTCCTCCAGTGGCACCCGCTCCAGCCCCCAGCGTCTCTCACCTACGCTAGTGCAGTTGCCTCCTCCCAGTCTGCAGGCTTCTGCCCTTGCCCTCCACGGCCTGTGTCAACACAGCAGCCAGAATGATCCTGTAAAACGTAAGTCATGTCACGCCTGTCCGCGGCTCCGACCCCTCCCAGGGCTCCCACCTCCTTCAGAGTAAAAGTCAACGTCCTCCCCTCTACCCACAGGCCCCCAAAGATCTGCCCCCATCACCTCCCTCCTCTCCCTTCCTGCCACTCTCCGCCTTGCTCGTTCCTCCCAGGCACACGGGCCTTGTCCCTGCCCCTCTGGCACACCACGGGCAGCCCAGCCTCAGTGCTTCTGCACTTGACTCTGCCCTCTGGCATCCCCGCAACTCATTCGCACATCTCTTTCAGGTGGCATATATGTTTCATCCGCTGTCTTGTTCACTGTTTTCCGAAAGGGCAAGGCATTTCGTCTGCCTTGTTCATCCCTATATTCTCAGGGCAGAGAACAGTGCCTGGTGTGTAGCAGGTGCTCAATAAATATTTGCCGAATGACTGGATGGATGATTGATCCTAATATTCATTGGCCCACCAGTCCCTGTGCTTGGCTCTGGGGAGAGAGAGGGCCAAGGCTGTAGTCCCTGCCCCAAGGGCGTCTTGTCTCACCAGCAAAAGCACAAGCCCCACCTCTGTGGCCCTCATCCTTTGCTTCCCAGCATAGTGCTGGGGACAGGGTAGGTGCTCCGTCTACCCACATAGACACAGAGTATCTCCCTCACCTTTCACTGTGGTTTTGTTTTCACTCCCTTCATTCCCTTCATAATCAAGGATGCTGAACAACTTTCTTTTTTTATAGGGTGGGCAGGGAAGGGCAGAGGAAGAGGGAGGGAGAGAATCTTAAGCAGGCTCCACTACCAGTGCGGAGCCCAGTGCGGGGCTTGACTCACGACCCTGAGATCATAACCTGAGCTGGAATCAAGAGTTGGATGCTCAACCGACTGAGCCACCCATGTGCTCCATGCTTAACAACTTTTAAGACATTTATTAACTGCTTGGATTTGTCCCTTTGTGAATTGCCTCTTGAAGTCTGTGCCCATTTTTAAAAACTGTACAGTTTGTTTTTTATTGTAATGCCCATCTTTTTTCTTATTGATTTGTGGGAACGCTTTATATATATTCGGGATACTAGTCTTTTATTGGCTACTTCATCTCTCTATTCACAGCACCCATCACAGTAGGCATTTGCTGAATATTTGACAAAAGACAAATTCTGAATGAATAAACCAATGCTGTCTCCTCAGATTATTTCATCGCACTCAGTGATGCTTAAAAAGAAAAAGAAACACAAAAAACAAAAAAAATCCCAAACCCCTCGTTATCACCTCCTCTGGTTCTCCTCCGGCAGCCCCTCATACATCTTAGCGGGATGCTGCGAACATGAGTCTGGAACCTGGCTTCTCCTCTTACTAGCTGTGTGACCTTGGGCAAGTGTCTTAAGTTATCTGAGCTCCAAGGAAATCACGTATGTGCCTGGAACAGTTCCTGGCACATGAGAAGCGTTCCATAAATGGTGATTTTTTTTTTTTTTAACTACTATTTCCATCTGTACCACCTTTCAGTCAGTTGACAAGATTCAGACTTCCTCCTTTACCCAGGGCCTCCACATCCTGATCACCCATTCCCAACCTCCTTACTCTGCCTAGGCTTGCTGCCCTGGTTCAGGCGAGTTTCCACGTCCTCACCTGTGAGGAGGGAATAATGGTAGTGAGGAAAGTAAGTGATTAATGAATTTGCCTTCCAGACTAGAAGAGGCAGGGTGGCCTGGGTTCAAATCCCACCCCTGCCACTTACCAGCTGCGTAGCCGTGGGCAAGTCACTTCATGTGATGGGGCCTCAGTTTTCTCATCCGAAAAAACAAGCGAAATTCCTGTCTCTCAGGGTGCTTATGGGAATCCAAAGAGATTACGCATACAACCTGATTAGCATTTTGTCTGACATTCGCTATGAGGAAACTGTTACTGTTATTGTCATTATTATTATGGCCTCCTCCCCTGCCCCGCCCAGGAACATCCCAGTCCACTCTGCCTGAGGAGGCCTAGTCTAGGCCACCTCCTCCAGGCAGCTTCCCTGGCTTGCCCCAGCCTCTTGGAACCGCCCCTGTGGTCCAGACGGGTCAGGCCCATGAACTTAATTACATGTTGCCCTGGCAGAACTCTTGTCTTTCAGTCTTAGGCTGCTATTTCACTTCATGTCTCTATTTTAAAATGTAAACCAGATCGCATCATTCCCCGGCTTCGAATCTTACAACGATTTCCCACCTTACGGAGGAAAAGCTCCACACTCCTTAATATGAGTCACAGACCCCTGCAGAATTGCCACTTTGACTGCAGCTGGTGCCCCAGCCACACTATTCCAGGCGCCGTCTAGCCTCAGAGCCTTTGCCTGGGGTGGGCCCCCTGCCTGATCTTTCCAGGGCTACCTCCTTTTTTCATTTAGATCTTGTCTCCAAAGTCACCTCCTCCAAGCCACCCCCTTACCCACAGATTCTACCATGCCACCCCCTCATATTTTATTCATAGCACTTTTATTCATAGCACATAGCACTTACTACCATCTGCAGATACCTTCTTTATTTACTCGTTAACTTGCTTGTTGCCTGTTTCCCCCCAACTAGAATGGCAGCTCCCACAGAGCAGGGATTTTTGTCTTGTTCACTATTGTGTCCTCTGTGCCAAGAACAGTGCCTGGCACATGAGAGGTGCTCAATAAATGTTTGTAGAATGGATGAATGTGCCTTCTGTCCTCATTCTGACTAGTCTCTGAGCCCTCCTATCCTCAGAACATGTGGTGGAGTTGCTAACTGCTACCCCCTCCCCAAGTTCCCAGTCTCCCCTCAAACCTGAACATAGGGATGGAGGAAAAAGAGTGTCAGCCTGGGCGCCAAGCACATTGGCTGGAATCCCAGCATCCCCACCCTCTCTTCCCTGCGAAGGGCCTGAAACTAAACAACCCCACAACCACGCAGAATCACAGTGGGGGCAGCAGGAAGTGGGGAAGGGGGTTCCT